AATGCTGTGTGACGAGGCATATGCGCCCTCGGAAATGGGGCGGTATCTAGTGTTTTTGTTTCCTAGTACGTTACTGTGATTTTCGCCTTGGGACTGTGACCTACTCGGCATGGATTGGCATACATTAGTACCTTTCACACCAATGTCATGATGCTGTGTGATATATATAATGGGATGAGGGCATAGCAGGCGCCTCCTTCTTCCTCCTCTCTTGTCGTCCACTTTCACTTCCTTTGGACCAGCGAGATCGTAGTCGCAGTACGCCGACAAAGCTTAGACGCAGATAGAGTAGCCTTGATAGCCGAGTGCGCGTTGGTTCGCACGACGGTTTTCATCAACACCACCACCACCCCAGACTTAATTACAACACCAGTCCCGACGCTTTCTTTCACCACCGACTCGGGATGAAAGCAAAGAGCTCTGGGTCCGGAAACCCCCGCGGCAGGGGAACGTATAACCCTGCATGCGATGTGTGTGCGCGAAAGTGAGCATTGGAGTGATTTTTTTCTTGGGCTGATCGCCTGTGTTGAGGAACATCGCTGATCGGGTTGTTGGTTTGGATGGTGTGGTGTTATAGGAAGACAAAGTGCGATGGGAACAAGCCTGTGTGTGCGCCGTGTCGGGCGCAGGGGCGCGAGCATGAGGTGAGTGTGGCGTCGGGGTGTCTGCTTCTGAGACGATGGGTGGCTGATCGTCGATGCTTGATTTGCAGTGTGCATGGACGAAGAACCCTGTGCGCAAACCGCGGACGGAGCAGCATTTCGAGGCAATGCACAAGCGCGCAGAGAACCTGCAGCTGCGTGCAGTGGAATGGCGCAAGTACGCGGACTACCTCGAGTCATTGCTCGACCAGTACCAGTCCCCGCACGACTTCCGCGCCTCCCGCCCCTCGGATGCCGACGGGCTGCTCGGCCCCGCCGCAGACCTGCTCGACCACGAGCTCGACCTCCAGAGCGACGACGGGACGTCCGAACCGGGCGACCCCGCGAAGGAGCTGTGCATCCCGACGCAGACGCTCAAGGTGTGCAGAGCAGTGGCTCTTTCTATTTTTGTCTTATTGGCAGTGACTCATATTCGGATTGCAGTTGGAGGACAACGGGCTCCTGCACCACTACGGGAACACCGCCCCCTTCCGCTTCGACCACGTCGAGCCGCGCCTGCCGTCGTCCTCCCAGCCCTCCCGCTTCCCCGCCCTCGCCCAGAACCCCGACGCGACGTACGTCCTCCTCGTCGACAACGTCCCCGACGACCACTACAACCCCGACTTTGACTGGTCCCGCCATCTCCCGGACATCGTCCCGCTCGACCGCAGATCCCATGACAGGTGAGTACACTGCCTTCTCCCATCATTCCCAAACCATATTCATCGTGGCTGTACTCGCAGAGCGCTTGATCTTATCTTCAAATTCTTCACATCATGGTGCTTGCGCGTCGTACCTGCGCTCTTCCTGCGCGACATGTACCGCGCGCTCTCCGTGTCGCCCTCCCACCCCCCACCCAAGACCCCGCACTACTCGCCCATGCTGCACAACGCGCTCATCGCCCTCGGTTTGGCCTTCGTCGATGACCCGAAGCTGCGCGATCTCAAGTCGCGGCAGTACTTCGCGAACAAGGCGAAGAGCTACGTCGAGATCGAGTGCAGCAAGCCGAATCTGAGCGTGGTGAACGCGCTGTCGATATTGGCGAGCTTCCATAGTTCGAAGGGGGACCAGACGCTCGGATACTTGTTCTTCGGTGTGTTGTGCATACATCAATGGGTGCTATTTGCTAATCTGGAGCTGTAGGAATGAGTGCGCGGATGGCACAAGCCCGTACGTGTCCCCACTCATTTTCATCTCCTTTTGATATGAATCTTACGCCACTCTTTACGTAGTGGGTTTAAACGTCGACTGCTCCGAATGGGTCAAAGCAGGTCTGATGGACGAGTCCGACCTGCTAGACCGCCGTTGGACATACTGGACCACCTTCACACAGGTACGTGCCCTCTCTTCCTTGTTCTCCACTTCTTCCACGATCTCAAATACCACATCACACACCCACAGGACGTCTGCTGGTCCCTCTACGTCGGCCGCGAATTCTCCATTCCCTCCCCCACCATCGACAATGAAGCGTTCAAAGTGGTTTCCCTGCCCCTTGTGGACACGGACTGCGACCAGCTGCCGTGGGTGCATGCTCCGTCGGGGCTTGAGCCGCAGCCGAATTACCTGACCAAGACGTTCGAGGCGACGTGTGAGCTGTTGATGATTGCAAGGAGGGTTATGGATGTGGTGTGCGTATCTTATCTTTTTGGTTAGGAGGCTGTTTGTTGAATGTTTGGGTTTTTTTTTTGTAGGAATCGATTGGATAGGTCGCATAGTCGACCACATGCTATCGATGAGCTGATAACGGAGATCGAGTGAGTGCCTTTCCTCCTACATCCAATCTCATTCCATCCATATCTATCTCCATCTCTAACCAACACCACTCCAGCCTCAACCTCAACACCTGGAAAGGCCGCCTCTCGCCAGAACTCGACATCACGCATAAGTCGCGGCAGACAGCGACGCCGCATAAGCTGATGATGCATCTTGCTTATTGGTGGTTGTTCATTCTGCTGCATCGGCCTTTCTTCCAGCGCAAGGGGAGGATGATATACAGTACGGATCGGGAGATTGATCATGTTAAGGTGGGTTGTCTTCTTCCTTTTTCCTTCCTTTTGCCTTCCTTTAGGTTTTAAATCCTGATTTTTTTAATTACTTTGAATAGCTATGCAAACGCGCCGCTGAAAACATAATGGAACTCCTCTCCACATGGCGCACGCTCTACACGCTCCGTTTCTGCCCCATCACGCTCATCCAGACCGTCTTCGCCGCGGGTACGGTGTACCTCCTCACTGCGATGCAGGCGAGCTCGGGCGTGCGCATCGCGCAGAAGGAGCTTGGGCACTCGCTGGAGCAGCAGGAGCGCGTTCTCGGCTACCTAGGCGAGATCGGGCGCTCGTGGGGATGCGCGACGAATATTGCGGGCATCATGCGGAATTTGATGGAGGAGCAGAGGCGGGCGGGGAGGGTGGGTGCTGGTGCTGGTGCTGGCAGGATTGAGAGGATGGGGAGTGCAGGTGGTGAGGGGGATTGGGATGAGGGTGAGGATGATGAGGATGGTGGTGGTGGTGGTGCGTTGATGAGGGTGAGGAGGCATTCGTCGCTGATAAAGCCCAAGCCGCACCGCGCGCTGCATGCGCACTCGCGCGGGCATTCGGTGAACGACGCTCCGTCGCCTGCTTCTGCGGCGCTCTCCTCGCCTAGCATTACGATCTCGCACTCCTTATCATCGCATCAGCAGGATAACAACAACACCCTCCAGCCGCACTCTTCGGGGTCCTCGCCCAGCATGAGCCGCTCTGCGCCCATCGCTATCCCTATCCAGGTCCCGTCTAGGGGGGGAAGAGCGAATCGGGAGGCGCTGATTGGGGTTGGCGCTGGTGTGTCTGTGAGCCCCGCGGGGAGCTTCTCGACGAGCCTGACGGACCCGTGGCTGCTCCGCGCGTCGCATGCGGCGAGTGGGAGCGCGAGCCCTGTCGTGCCGAGTCCTGTTATTCCTAGCCCGAGCTCGTTGGGCTCGATGTATGCTGCTGCGCGGGCGCATGTCGGTGGTGCTGGTGCTGGTGGGTTTGGTGTTGGTGGAGGGTCGTTTAGGGAGTCGTCTGGGGCGTTCGCGCATCGTGATAGTGCCAATGCGCCTTCGACTTCGGGCTCGGGTTCGAATTCGAATATGTTCGCGCGCCAACAACCCTCCGCCGCGACGCCGGTCCTCGATACGCTCGCGTTCTCAGGGAGCGGACATACCGCGAGCCATATGTTCCAGGGCCCGTCGAGCGCGCCGTTCGATATCACGCAGGACCTCCCACCTTCCTCCTCCTCCTCCTCGATGCCTTTTGGGGGCCGCGGGGCCGCCTCCTCTTCTGCAGCGGCATCGGTGTTGGGGGTAGGCGCGAACGGGCGCCAGTTCGACGAGCACGAGCTCTCGGCGTTCCTCGGCATGCCGGGCGGCGGCGCGCTCTCAACGGCGCCGTATGTGGGTATGAACTTTGGGCTTATCCCGGGCGTCGGCGGCGGCGGCAGCGCGGCGGAGAGAGGCTTCGCGTTTGAGTCCCCCTCATTTGACGGCCCGTCATCGTTTGGGGGTGTTGGTGGTGGTGTGGATGGGTTTTTGAGTTTTATGAATAGCGTGGCTGCTGATGCTGGTGGTGCGGGTGCGGGTGCAGGTGCGGGTGGAAGTGGGGCCCAGGCGACGACGACGGGTGGGTTTGAGGAGTTTACGGTGATGCACGATATGGATATGGATCTTGAGGACGGGGCGTCGCAGTGGGAGGTTTGGGGGCAGACGTTTGAGCGGTAGCTTTTTTTTATCTCTCTCTCGTCGTCTACCTCTTTTTTTTCTCTTGCTCTGCTGCTGCTGCTTTTGTTTTTGCTGCTTTCGCTTTTCGCTTTTCGCTTTTTCTCCTTTTATTTCTTCTTGCTTTTTTTTTGATCGCCTTTCGTATTCGGCATCGTTTATGCTTATGCTTCTTTTTGGTGGTTGCTCGCATCCGTCTTTGTCGCTCAGGTCGACTATGAACTCAGATTTTTTTCGTTATTGCTGGCATTGCTTTTGTTGAATACTTTTAACTTGCCTTGACTTTCCCGGCCTATTTCCCTTTGGCCTGTCTCTGTCGTTCTTCTGTACTCATCTATTGTATGTAGTTGGTTTGCAACCGCTTTGTCTCTGTCTCTGCCTCTCTCTCGGCTTATGTATTCAATCTGTGCTGCTGTATCACTCACTCACTATGTCCTACGTTTATTTCCTCACATACTACATACTTACTTACTGTCGCATAGTTAGCGTTATAGTCTATATATATTACTTGCTTAATATTCGTTGGGCTGAGATGTGATGCGATTTATCTCTTGGTGAGTTGCTATTAAAGTAGCTAGCAAGAACGATTGACGAGTCGGAGCTGACAACACCAACATGTTTAGTAAGGCAATATGGCCGAGTGGTCTAAGGCGCCAGAATCAGGACTTTGGTCTTATCTGGTCGGAAACGGCGAGGGTTCGAATCCCTCTGTTGTCATTATTAGTATCGGAATGTTTTTTTTTCATCTGCGAAGCCCTATGTGTGTAGCTCGACTCCCCTCACGTGCGGCCTATGGTTGGAGCCTTACGTGCAGGCCTACTGACTTCAGAAGATCGGCCCCGCTGGGCGAGACCGGAGACCGGAGACTGTGAGACTCGGCACTGGTGATGGCCGGTACCTTCACATATATACAAATAACGGCGGTTGGCGGCTTCCTTGCGCACTCATAGGCGCCTGCTGTGAGCGCCCAAGCCGTCGCTATATGATGACTCAATGTAATTTGTAGATGCACTGGGGTATTACCTGAAGAAAATGAAAAAAAAAAATCCTTCCCTTTCCCTCGTTCTTACCCCCAAGTTCCTGCTCAAGCCAGCATCTCCAGATGACGAACAGCATCTTCCCTCAACCAAATATTAACCCTCGCCCTCAGAACCAAGCTTCTACATGCCCTCAGTGTTTCTCGCATGTACTCAGCCCGCTTAAATGCGCAGGTGCAAGCGTGCTTAAAATAGAAAATTATGGACGGTGGTGTCAGACGGTGAGAACGTTTCAGTGATTCATTGAATGCTCTTCTCATCATTTTCTAGTGCGTCAACTGCCAGCATACCATCTGGCACTCTCCCGAGACTCTACCATCCCAAATTCCTCCTGACGTTCAAGCAAGATTTATCTACCGCGCTCAACATGGTCTCGACGACAAGATCTACTGTCAAGAGCCCGGCTGCGCATTGAAGGCTGCCGGAAATAGCCCTCGCCGAGCTGCAAAGCAGTGCGAGCGTGTCCCGTTTCGTTGCAAGACATGCTGTCTGAAGTCTGGAGGATGCAAAGTGCACGCCACTGCACCAGCCGAGGTTCTTTTTCTTTCTTTTTTGCACAAGGTTTCTCTGAATGGCTGATTTAAATCATAGGCTTTTGCTCCTGTGGCGGTAGATCCTGCTATACCGCCCTTTGCACAGCCGTTATTTCCTGAAGCCACCCCCACCTCGAGTGCCACCGCTTCATCTCAGTCCGTGCCACACACCGCTGCCTCTTCTCAGGTCCAGCCACGCACCACCGCTGCCTCTTCTCAGGCCCAGCCACGCACCACCTTTGCCCGAAATCTTGCTGGAGGATACGCTCAAGGCTGGCAAGCTGCTCAGTTACAGAGGCATGCTGCAAATGTACAGCGTCAGCTCATCGAAGAAGCTACGCATAATCTTCGGAATACAGTGACAGTTGTCATATGGACAAAGGTGCGCAATTTATTATCTTCACCATCTTTATTATCATTATATTCAATACTTTTTCTAGGCGGGCTTTCCTCCGAAATTGATCAACATAATCACTCCAACTCCTGGATTCGTCATTCCCAGCATGATCCCTATAATCGCCAACCTCTTCCAAGGTGCTCCAACTATCGCATTTTTCCGAAGTCGCCCCTGTGTTGAATGGGTCACCCAAGAGCTCGAGCTTCCAATCCTCGCAAGCCAGGACTACCGACTCCTCATTCGTGACGATGGATTGACAGATGAAGACTGTATGAATCTATCTTCGCATATGGAGCAGCACCTTTCAGAAATCCCCCATATTCGGAGCGTCGGGAGTGACTCCATTCGCCATTCCAACAAACCTCCTGCCAGCACTGAGGCTGAACTCACTGCAACTTCCCTGGGTCATACTGTTGCTGCGCCCCTGCTGTCTGTTCAACCGGCACCCACCAGCAGAAGTTCAACCTTTCCACTCGAAGCTGCAAAGGACATGCTTGTTCGGTTTCGAAAACTTCGTGCAGGTATGGATGGCGTCAAGAAATCGGAGGCTGCTACCAAGCTGCTCGCTATGTTCACGCAATGTTTCCCTGGGTGCAAATTTAACAAGTCTACCTTCTATCGTGAGCAGGGTGTATATACGCGCGCTCTGGAGATTGAGTCCAAGGAACACTTGATTGAAAAGTATGGTCGTCTTGTAGGAGAAAGGGGATCTTGGAAAAATTTCCGTGATGACGTGAATCGTACGTCGTATACAAAAATTTTCTATTTGTTGTTATTGACTCACAGGGAATTTTTATAAGGTATCAATGCGAAAGCAACGAAATCGGCTCAGGTGCATACCTCTACTCCCATCACAGTGCCGACTACAACTGGTGCTCGAAGTCCCTCACCCCCATCGTCGCCGATGTCTATCAGCAGCGAAATGGACACCCTCACTAGCAATGTCCCGGACTACTCTATCCACACGATCTCGCTTGATACCTACATCGTTGTAGATGGCCAGTTAACGACTGCCAGGGACTGCCCTGACATGGACATGCTATTTGATGAGCATCCATATACGCAGGGTCATCGCAAACAGATCTTTGTTGTGGGTCTTCTTTGTTTCCTTCCAGCGCTTCTCTCATCACTTCCATCTCTAGATGCAAGGCCCCAGCCCCATGGATCCTTTGGAAAGAATCTATGCATGCAAATCGTTTGATTTTCTTGGTGGTACTTGGTATAAGCCAGCTTACAGCGCTGAGGTTGGCATATGGGTGGAAGGTGCACGAACATCGAAGGCACATCTCTTCAATGGGACCTTCCAATCTGAGCTTGCTGCGCATGGCATGGGTTCTCCAAATTTTCCTTGTATGTGTCGTACTGTGCTATCGAAGTGTCTCATAGCCCTCATTCTCTTTAACATAAAGCCTTCGAGGTTGTGCCAACATTCCTCCTTACATTTCGGGACTGTGACCGCACAAGCCGGCTTGTTCAGCCCTGGGTCAATGGCGAATATTTTCACTCAGTCCAATCTGAAGAAGAATATCCTGAGCTATGCGATCTATTAAGCGCATTCAGCCACTTCTGCTACACCTTTAGTCAGCACACTTCAGCTATTGTGGAGTTTCAAGGTGCGCTATACTATGTATTGTCTTGTCTCTCGAAAAGTTTGTTTATCATCTACGTAGGCTTCATTGACAAGAATGACAAAATTCTGCGCATTTTTGACAGCCTTGTCCATGTGATTCCTTCGTAAGTACACCTCTTCTAACCATCTATATATTGCTCTAATGTCTCCTCCATAGCGAGGATCATACCACTGAGTCTTATCACCGTAATCTAGGTGTCCGTGGTGTTGAGGGCTTCCGAATGACGCATGTATGCGGGAAGGCTTGTCACGCCCTTGGGTACTCGCCTCTTTAAAAAAAAGACCACCTCTAAGTGGCCCCGAATTTTTTTTTCTTACTTAAAACATGCGTATGACGCACAACCCCCTCTCAATAATGTAAAGCTCATAAATTCCATAGAAGAAAATTAGTAGAACATATCTTTATTCAATTCATTTATTGAACACCATCCTACTATTGTATGTCGTCTGATTGTGCCACTACAAAGGGAGAACAGAGAAGAAACAAATGTCCTTCCTCACTGTTCATCATTGTCCTCACCCTATCCTTCGCACACGCTGTCTGGTCGTGGGAGGCAGTCTTACCTACGTCCATTGTTTCTGGCAGTAAGCTACGGCCTAGTTGTTGACATCAAACAATGCGACGTGTGACTAAAATTGAACACGGTGACAAGATTGAAGATTCGCAATGTGCCTTCGATTGTTAACCACCACCTCCATCCCGTCAGTCACCGCAAGATAGACAATACACCGGACATGCGATGACATGCGATACCTAAAGTAAGTGGCTTGTTCTCAAATTCAAAAGAAGCACGACTTACAATGGAATCGGACATCCAGCAATCAAAACTATGCCACACGACGACGAGACGATGACGGGCGACTCGGTCTGCCACACACGACGACAAGACGACGTTCACCTATACATCAAGGTAAGTAACCCACTTGTGCAAATATTCGGAGTGTGCGATCTTACAAGCTCTTGCCAGTGTGATGTCCAAGGCCAACAAGGAGACGATGACGGAAAAACAGACTTGAACCAAGTGGCGACACAGATAGTGACCATGATGACAGACAGCTACAATGAAGGGTGGTGAGGAAGAAGGTGGCGAGGGCGGAGTACAGCAGACGATGAGAACGAAGGCAGAGATGGCGATGTGCAGTATCTGCAGGTGTGCCCCCCATGCTCAGTTTCTTTCCCTTCTATGCTCAGTATTGATACCCTTACTTTGCTATAGGTGTACCATGGCCTACCTTGTGAGGGACGGCGAGACCCCAACGAGTACGAAGGGGCCTCCTACCTTCCTTCTGCTTTTGTGCATTCTCTTGCTGTGTGCGGTGTCGGGGACGACCCTGGACTCGTATCTGTACACAGTTTGGGCGGTGTTTTTTCTTTCTTTCTCGCTATGTGTGGTGTCAGGGCCAACCTTTGATCCATATCCATGCATGGCGAGGGCAGTGTTTTTTTGTTCAAGTCCTTGCCAGTGTGTATTTAGAACATCAACAATGAATTTTTATTTAAAAAGATCTGGGAATACAGCATGAGGAGGGATTGTCCATGGATTGTGCCCTTGACGAGCCAATTCCTTGATGATGTACCGATTTCTGCGCTTTATCATCTCATCTAAATAAAAGGAAAACCGAACTGACTCCATATCTCGTAAAATGGGATGATACTTTCCTAGCCATGCATTCACCTGCTCACATATAGAAGAGTTGAATCTCCACCGACCATCTTTGATTAGCTCAGGGAAAGCAGCCGGATTGCAGTGAAGCTGACAGTGGGTGTCGGTGAGCTTGTGCTTCGATTTGAAGTGAAAGACATCGACAGGCTTGGCTGTATCTTTGAAATGATGATCTCCAGTAGCACGTTGGTGCAGATCCAATCGACAATTGTTGTCAAATATGAAGAATTCGGGCGTGGACTCTGGAGTCGGATATGTTGCTTTTGCAAATTCCTAAAGTGGATGTTCAGCAGATGTCAAAGAGGGAAGATTGAGGATAATGGGCTTACATTGACTCCAGAGACCGCTTCGGAACCATACAGTGGCGCACAGGCTGCAACGACACCACAAGTGTTGGCAATAATCTGTATATTGTGTGTCCAGCGGCGTCCAAAGTATGCCCTAAGTTTTCTATTC